ACAATCTCTCATGATGCTGGGCAGTGGCAGGGAGCAGCAGCTGCCAGTGAACCATGCAATCTCTCAGGGTAAATAACCAATACTCTATGGTGTACTGTGTGCTAGATGATTTTGCCCAACTGTAGGCTAAAGTTAAATGTTCTGAGCACAATTAAAGTAGGCTAGGTTAAGCTATGATGTTCAGTAGGTTAGGTGTATTAAGGCACTAATAATATTTTCAACTTAAAATGGGCTTATCAGACATAACCCCGTCACATGTCAAGGAGCTTCTCTATATAAATGCATATCCCCACATGACTGGAAGACATCACCACACATTTCAGGGTAGTTGGAAAGTGCCCAGAAAAACCAGAGTGGTGATAAGAAAAAAGAGAAAAGGGCAAAGAAGTGAATGGGGGAAAAAACAAGTTGGTATTTGCATGACTACTAAAGATAAACAGAAGATGGATTACAGACAATATTTTTAATAGGATCATGGAATGATTAAAACATCAGATGTGAAGATAGGAAAACAGGAAGAAAAATCCCAGATAAGATAAAGACCTATAAGAGGTCTGAAAAAAGTTAGAAAGAACTGACACATAATGCTAAAAAACAAGAAAAACACCGCAACAAGTGTGGCGCCCACAAAAAATATTTATCTCTTCCTCTTTGTTTCTCTCCTGCTTAGTGTACTGCCTTGCACAAACTCAACGAAAGTTCATTGATGATGACTATTGTCAGAATGGCAAAGGAGAGAATAGACTGAGTTAAGACAACCAACAAAGGGAAAAATGAAAACCATTTCTAAAAGATGAGCTAGGATTGTTCATCAGAACTGATTCTCAATACTATCTAAAGCTTTATGCTAATCTACCAAAAAAAAGAAGAGAGGAAGTTTTTTCATTCTAGTCATTCACCTTTCCCTTCCTTCAAAGCACTATTTAAAACTTAACACTTCATACACCTTCCTGGATTAGCTTCACCTTGATTCAAGGATTTCAATCATTCAAGTAATCTATTCATTAAAGTTATTAATTAATATCACAGCACCTGGTATTTCATCTGGCCTAGTACTTCCTACAGTTATTTTGGTTCCTGTTTAAATGTCTGTTTACCCAGATAAACTAAGCTTTGAGAGGATTACAGTCAACTTTGTTTTGTGTCTCCTGTAACTAACGGAGTGAGGGCTACATAAGAGACACTCAACAAATACTTGTTGATTGAGTCAATACATGAATGAAGGCTGTATATATATCATTGTCTTTTAAAAATCAAATAACTAGCTAATTTTGGTGGTTTTTCTATCTTCGCAGTAAACTATAAGTTGCTCTAGAGGCAATCATTCAATTTCGGAACATAACCATAATGTCCCGTGGTACTTAAATACAGCTTAGTTCACTGGTATAAAAATCCTAAAATTCAGAATTAAAAATCAAGGACATGAAGGAATAGTTGGTGATGGAACTACCAAAACAGCCAAGTAAATATAATCCTAGAATAGGAAATAATTAGTAGAAGTACACTAAATATATATATACATAATATAGATTTCCATTATTATCCATCAATAAGAAGCACAATTGACTAGTATGACATCAAATTAAGAATTTGTGAATGTCTGGTGGACTTTAGTTTATGGCAGGCATGTACTAAAGTGATAGATTTAATAACAATGTCATTTTTTGCTACCATCATGACAAAGGATCTTAAACTCCTGATATATCTATCTACATCCATAGCACTTGATCAATCATCTTGGAATCAAATATTTAATATATGCCTACCTTGGTTATGTTAGATGCTGATGACACAAACTAAAGTTTTGCCTATCCTTTTAATTTATTCTGAAGTCCAACCGAATGTATAGTTCAACAAATATTTGAGTTTGATTTTATTTTTCCAATTCAATTGTTTCTTGCTTTCATTTGCTCTCTTTAGAAATTCCTAAAATACTGTTATGAATGTCTAATATTCTAATATATAAAAACTGAGCAACAACTAGTATTAATTAATAATAACGATAATAGCTAACCTTTACTGAGTACTTACTACTTCCAGGCATAACTATCTCATTTAATTCTCACAACAAATCCATGAGGAAAATACTATTATTACTTCCATATTACAGAGGAAGAAACCAAAGCACGGAGAAGAATTAAGTTCACATAGACAGTAACAGGAAAAGCCTGGACTAAACACATATGTTCTGACCCTAGAGTTCATGCTCTTAACCATAATACTAACATAGTTTATATTTCTGCTATGTAAGTTTCACATAAAATGGATAAATCGCCTTCTGAAAATAAGATATTGAGAAACAAAACCATTAGAGCTATGTATCATTAGAACTCCAGAGAATGAGGCAAGATAGCTAGTTCTTAGTTTCTCTGAAGAGAGGTGTTCTTGCTCTCAGAAAGCTTGCAACCCAACTGGGGAATCAGAATATATTCTAAAGAAAACAATATACTGTGATATACAAAGGACTTGCTATGAAAGATAAGAGGCAACAGTAATTTCTAAGGACTAGACCATCATAAAAGGCCTGATGGAAGAGATAGGCCTTAAAGGAGGGATTATTCTGATAGGAGGAAGAAAAGAAATAGGGTGTTATAAGTAAGGAGAAGCATTTGAACACAATTATTGATGAAATACTGTTACCAAAACACCAGGAGTTCCATCTATGTCTTGCTGCTTGCCACCCAAAAAGCCAATCACTGAGACAATGATTATTGTCAAAGAAGAAGGCTTTAATCAGATGCTGCAGCCAAGGAAATGGGACATCAGTGTCAAATTTGTCTCCCTCACTGACTAAAATTAGGGGTTTATATAACAAGGAAGAAATATTAACTACATATGAGAAAACAGGAACTAAGGAGGGGTAAGGAAGCAATAATGAAGAATGAGGGGTCTGGCATCTCATTGTCTAGATGCAGTAATCTGGTGAGTTTCAGCTCTTTGATACTTGTTGAGAGGTCTGGGTGTCCTTTCTTGAGGAAGGAACTCAAATAAAGATCAACGAAATGTGGCTGGGCGCAGTGGCGCATGCCTATAATCTCAGCACTTTGGGAGGCTGAGGCAGGCAGATTGCTTGAGCTCAGGAGTTCCAGACCAGCCTGGCCAACATGGTGAAACTCCATTGCTACAAAAAAAATACAAACATTAGCCAGGCATAGTGGCATGCAACTGTGGTCCCAACTACTTGGGAAGCTGAGGTGGGCAGATGGCTTGAGCCTGGGAGGTAGAGGCTGCAGTGAGCTGAGATCGTGCCACTGCACTCCAGAGTGGACACCAGGGCAAGACCCTGTCTCAAACAAGCAAATAAAAAGCTAAAATAAACGCAAGTTTCAAGCTTTCAGACAAGAAGTGTCCATTTCTATGTTTATTAATAAAAAAACCCCCAATAAACAAAACTAAACAAAACCCTGTCTATGGGACTATTGGGTTGGTTTCAGTACCATGAAAAGATCCAATTGTTTAAATGTTTAAAGTATGGCGATAATAGGGGAGGCTGGAAAAGTAAGGATCATATTGAAGCAAAAGCTGTAAAAAACAAAAAACCTGGAGTACCAGAGCATATCTACCTATACAAGGAAGAACCAACAGTGGACAGAGGGGAGTTTGAGGGCTAGAGATGTTCAAGGCGGCATCATTCTGACAGTGCTGTTTAGGAAAGCATTCACGACACTACTTAATTCCATTGCTTTAGGTATTTCCATAAGGCCACACAAGAAAGTATGATGGAGCCAGGACTAAAACCAGATGCTCTTTGTATCTGCCTTTAAACTTGACAAAATCCTGTGGAGAACCTAATCTATACTTTCATCTTTAGTTTTTTAAACTTGCTTGTTTCATTCAGTTATTCTTTATAGTTCATAACATCATTAAATAATTGATCATATTAGATTATTTTATTTATTCTGCTTAAGTTTATCTTGACTGCTTCTCAAACTCAGATTGGTAGAAGGATAAAAAAGAAAGAAAGCAAAATCTAAACAGTAACAACAAAACCATTTAAACATCTCCAAGTGAAATTTATGTCATGCTGGCCAAAAATAAGATGTAGTTTTCATCGCCAGGTACAATGCTGGGAAGAGGTGTTGATGTAAAGCAAGCAGCACAAAGAAGTAATAAAAGGAAACACAGGAATCAGAAAGGGAAAAGAAAGAGAGGAGAGAAAAACACCACCAACACCACCAGCAGCAATAACAGCAAACCCCAACAGTGCCCATATGCAATGCCCCCTAACTGCTTCGAAGAAGAGCAGTTCATTCTGTTTTCTGTAAGCTTGAAAGATAGCATAGCTGGCCTGGGAATGTGTAGACTTGCTGAGTCCTTGTTCTGCTGCTACCCAACTGGCTGTTTGGCCTTGATCCTTGATTTCTTTCCTCATCTATAATAAAGTGGGAATAACAGCACCTGCCTTACTTGTCTCATTGGGTTGAAATGAAAGCAAAGTGAAATGGCAAATGTGAAAGAATTTTGGAACGTTTTCATGTTGTAAGTTGGTTGCTAAGGTCTAAAAGAAATATTAATAATTACGTTGAATATCTTCTGCAGAAAAAAAATTAAACCGACCCCGTCCCTCGCAAATCTAGCCCTACCTGGCATAGGTTTTAGTTCTTTTAATTTTCGAATGAGAACATTGTAAAGGAACTGTAGGGACGAGAGTAGCATCAGGTCTCCCCATCCTTCTCATATCCTTGCCCCCGCACCCCCCTCTCACCCCAGAGTTCAATCACCAACAGAAAAGATTGAGAGTAGCTCAGGGTACGGTAAACGAAAGAAGCTTTGAAGAAGGCGGGGAAAGCCTGGGATGGCGAGGGGGTGCTCGCTGAGGAGGAGGATAGAAACTACAGTTGCGGGGCCGGGACAAGAGAGACTTAGAACGAAGCCAAAGGCGCCTTTCTTCACAGTTCGGGAACTTACTGGTAGTACACGCCACTCCATGGAAGCCGTGACTGGTTACCTTAGCGACCGCGTCGGGGTGGGCGGAGCGTCGCTTCTGAGCGGTGCCACCGCCACAACTGCTCGACCAGAAAAGCGGACACGTCGGCGCAGTGACTTCCGGCGGAAGAAGAAGCCGGTCCCAAGTTCTGGCCGACAGTAGGCAAGGAGTGGGCGGCAGCGCATATGTGAAGTTAGGTAGGTCTGATGTCCTATAAAGCGCGGAGAGGGTGCCCGCCAATAGCTGGGTGGGTAAAGCCGACTGTGAATGGAGAAGATTCCCGAGTCCCCGGCTGTTTCGTTAAGTGTATATAGCTGTGGGAAGAGGTTGCCTAATTTCTGGGGCTCCTGGTAGAGTCTCTCTTCTGGAGCGTGGAAGACTGGCGCATCCTCGCGTAGAGAGTTTCACTCTGTCTTTGCGAGGTCTCAGCGCCTCTCCAATAACAGGGGACTCTTGTTCTCTCCCTGCTGGTGCTGACGTTATTTCGCATATCATGCTCTCTAGGCAATCTGGAGGAAAAGCAAATGAGAAACATTCAGAAGGAATGCCCCCAAATTTAATTCTTTGGTGTTCTGTTTTGCTTTTTTTTTTTTTATTCGTTCATTTTGTAAATATTCATTAAGCTCCTCCAGCGTGTTTAGTGAGTGCTTACTTGTGTGCCAGTTTTTTCATAAGATTAGCAGAAATACCTTCCAAGGTTCATACACCACCCAGTTCATTATAAAATTCTTTTTTTAAATGCTGTTGTATATTTATTAATTAAGGTATAAACATATATCGTGAAACACCTAACACATTTTCCATACTTGTCGGTACACTTGTACGTGGAGTTCTTGGGACATTTTAAATAAAAATATATGCTTTCTCAGGTTTGCATTATAATCATGATTTACTCGACTAAATATTAAAGAACTTACAAAAGTAGTACTTACTTTTTTCTTAGATACATGGCAAACCGTAATGAATTGTCATTAATATTTCTATTCAGCTAATCTGAGAAGGCCCACTTCTGGTTCCATGGATGATGGCTGCTGAGCAGATGCCCAAAAAGGATTGGTACAGCATCCTGGGGGCAGACCCATCTGCAAATATGTCAGACCTAAAAGAAAAATATCAAAAACTCATATTAAGGGTGAGTCTTTTCTTTTAGATTTTAAATCATGAGGGGAAAAAAATTAATTTTTATACGAAAGCACAAATTTAGGTTTCCAAAACATAGGATACCAGTGACGGGAATCCAGGTATTAATTTGATTTAATTGAACTTTTCAGTAATATTGCAGAAAAACTTGATTTGAGGTGGGAAAGCCTGGTTAGGAGCAGGAGATCTGAGTCAGGCTGCTTGAGTCAGAATCTTGAGTCCATCTCTATCTGAGAATTTGGACAAGTTACTTTTTCTTATATGTGCCAAGGGAGGATTAAATGAAATAATCCATGTGAAATATTTATAAGTGTTGTTACATAATAAGCAACAGTAGCCACTAGCCACATGTGGCTGTTGAGCACTAACTTCACTGGTTTTATTTTTCCTCTATGGTGTCCATCTGCTGATAAACTTCTTAAAAGAATTCTTGATCTCTTATCTAATTTTCATATCTAGCATTTCTACTGGCTCTTTTTTTAAAGTTTCCATCTCTTTCTCATCTTTTTATACATGTTGTCCACTGTTTCTACTATATCCTTTAATAAACTTATCACAGTTAAAGTCCCTGTCTGATAATTCTTTGTAGTTAATCGAACAGTTTTTATGTGGATTATATGTTGAAATGATAATATTTTGGATTACTGGCTATTTTGTGTTTTATATGCATAATATGCGTGCATGTATTTGCACATATCCAAGTTTGTTTCTCTTGCATTTTACTTTTTTAACATTACATATGTAGCCTGCATTTATACTTAACATTATATTTCTATTGGGTAATGCTGATTTAGACCATTTATACACAAATTATCAGTTGACTTTTCGTTGTTGTTGTTGTTGTCCAGGCTGGGGTGCAATGGCACCATCTCAGCTCACTGCAACCTCTGCCTCCCAGGTTCAAACAATTCTCCTGTCTCAGCCTCCCAAGTAACTGGGATTAAGGTGCATGCCACCACGCCCGGCTAATTTTTGTATTTTTAGTAGAGACAGGGTTTCATCATATTGGTCAGGCTAGTCTCAAACACCTGACCTCGAGTGATCCTCCTGCCTCGGCCTCCCAAAGTCGTGGGATTAAAGGCACGAGCCACCACGCCCGGCTGACTCTTTTTTTAAAAAATGAATTGTAGTGTTTGTAAATATATTTTTCTGAACTTTTATATTCATTTTTTCAGTCTGTATTGTGATGCTTCTTAAGGCAGTGTCTGTAATTCTATACTGAAGTCCAGTTAACTCAGTTTATAAAGAGTAAAGAACCATTATTTATATAGAATTTGTTGTCTCTTCAGTTTAGACCAGTTACATCAATGTTGTTTTGCCAAAACTGTTAATGTTCATTATAAGAGACAGTAGCTGTTTTTCATCATTAGTATTGTACTAATATTCTTACTTTAGGAATGTACTAATATTCTTACATTAGGATTGTACTAATATTCTTACTTTTTCATCGTTAGGATTGTACTAATATTCTTACATAATATTCTTATGTCGGACTAAATGACCTTAAGGTACCTTTTGCCTCAGAATTTTTAAAATTTCTGTCAGCAGAATCAAGTAGACTTTATTGAAAAATATCCTAATATTAAACCATCCTTGTACCTCACTCAGTTAATTGGGAGATGAGGCTGGAAAAGTAGACTGGATCATGCTGGTTCTTGTAGGCTATATTGGCCTTTAATTGGCCAATGAGAAGCAGTCTGCACATAATATGTAGTATCTGTCAAACAGCAAAGTAGATAAACCATTTTACGTATGCGCTGACAATGTGTCAGAGAGTTCTGGTTGCTCTTCATCTTTGCCAATATTTGATGTTATTGGTCTCTTTCATTTTGGCTGTTGGAGTTTTCGCAATTTTGCCACCATTGACATTTGGGCAGGATAATTCTTTGTTATTTCAGCCATCCTGTGCTTTGTAAGATGTGTGGCAGGATCCTAGATGCCAATAACAACTAAAAATGCTGCCTGCCTATCAAAATTGCCACATCCCATGAGAATCACTGGACTACTCTACGGTGTCTGTAGTCATACCCCATTGTGGGGTTGTTGCCTTTTAAAAATTTCTCTGATGACTAATGATGTTGAGCCCTTTTTAATGTGATAATTGGCCATTTGTATAATTTTCTTTTATGAAGTGTTTTTTTTTAACTTAAATATATTCTTGATTCTGTATATATGTGGTATATATTTTCTCCTAGTCTGTGATTTACCAGGTCATTTTCTTCATGGCATCTTTTTGATGCAGAGTTTTTTGTTTTGACAAAATATAATTTATCAAATGTGTGTTTTTATAGTTAATACTTCCCATCTTCTCTAAGGTTATGAGAATATTCTTCGATGTTTTCTTCTAGAAGTGGTCATTTGCTTTTACCTTTAGACTTATTTCTGTGTATGGCATAAGATGTGAAGTCATGTTTTTATTTTTCCTCAGTATAGATATTCAGTTGTTCCAGCATCATTTGTTGAAACCTTTTTTCTCCATTGGACTATCTTGGCAGTATGAGTGTATTACTGGACTCTATTCTGTTTTATATGTTTATCCATTTACTAATACCTCCATCTTGATTACTGTAGATTTATAGTCAGTCTCAAAGTCATTGTAAAATTAGTTCTCTAATACTCTCCTTTTCAAGTTTATTTTGGTTATTCTAGTTTGCTTATATTTCCACAGAAATTTTAGAATCAGCTTGTAAGTGTCTTCCAAAAAAATCTTGCTTGAGTTTTAAACTGGGATTTCAATAATATATATCCACTTTGGTAGAATGGGCATCTTAATAATATTGAGTCTTTGAATCCATACTTAAGCCATCTTTCATTTCTCTCATCAGTATTTTATAATTTTCAGTGTAGAGGTCTTACATATTTTTTTTTAATTTCTTTCTAGTTATTTGTTTTTGGTTCCATTGTAAACGGTATTTTAAAAAATATTTCATTTTTCAGTTGTCGATTGATAGTATATAAAATTATAGCTTATTTTTATATACTGGTCTTTTATCTGACAATCTAAGTAAATTTGCTTTTTAATTTTAATAGCTATTTTTGTCAATTCCTTAGAATTTTCTGCCAACACAATTATGTCATTTGCAAATAATGAGAGTTTTAATTCCGTCTTAACAATCCGTATGTCTTTTGTTTCCCTTTCTTGCCTTAATGCACTAGCTGGTTGCTTCTATTAAATGTTGCTTCTATTAAAATGCTTCTATTGAAGTGTTAAGAGCAGATATCCTTGCCTTGTTCCTGATTTTAGGAGGAAAACCTTCAATATTTTACCAGTAAGTATACTGTTAACTGTCTGTTTTAAAGATGCCCTTTATCAGCTTGGGGAAATTCTTCCAATTAATACTTTGCTAAGAGTTTTTATGATAAGTAGGTATTTAAATTTGTTAGATCTTTTTTTTTGCATTTATTGAATTTTGCATTTATTGATCATTTATTGATTTTTCTCATTTAGTTTGTTAATGTGGTGAATCACATAGATTTTTCTTAAGCCCACTTCTCATTCCTAGGATGAACAAACTTCACTTATCATGAAGCATTATTATATTTATACATGGAGGGATTCTAGTTGCTGTTATTTTGTCATGGATTTTTATGTTTAATTTCATGCTATATATTTGTCTGTAATTTTCTTTTCTCATAATGTTTATGTCTAAATTTATTATCATGGTTATGCTAGCCTCATAAAATGAATTGTGATTTCTGGCTTTATAGTGAGGAAGAGAGGTGGAGGTCTAACCATTTTTTTAGTCTTAACCAGTCTTTCTCTTGTTTAATTTTGCCCCTCAACTCCACTCTCAAAGGTACTTGATGCCTTCCATTCCTCAGTTTCTCCTGCCTCTGTGTGAATGAACTCACTTCTTTTTCTCTTTTACTTTAGACTTAGGTTTCAGTTTTTGCAGGTACACTGAATTTGTTATTTATTGATTAATTTTACATCTCTCCAAATTTTGGTATCTTTCGCCTGTTTTTTTCTCTTCTCTCCCGTTCTTTCACCTGTTTTTTCTCTTCTCTCCTTTTTGTTCTTACACATTTATGCCTTTTTTAAAAAAAAAAATTATTCCTTTGCTGTTACTATCAAGGAATTTTCAGTGAGAGGAAAGTGTGAGCCAGTTGCTGTGGCTCACACTTGTAATCCTAGCTACTCGTGGGGCTGAAGCAGGAGGACTGCTTGAGCCCAGGAGTTCAAGGCTGCAGTGAGATATGATTGTGTCACTGCACTCCAGCCTGGGCGACAGAGCAAGACCCTATATCTTATTAATTTGCCATTTAGTGGAAGCTCTGAACCATTTTCTTTTCCCTTTAGAGGCCAGATACCCGTCTGTGGCAATATGCCTTTGCATTTGCACTCTGCCCATTCACTGCCTCACCTGATTCTCACTCATTGTTTCAAAATGATCTTAGTTGTAATCGTGCCTCCACAGCTCCCTGCCATGTCCGTAGTATATTTCATGGTATTTCTCTAGGACAGGGGAGGTGTAGCTCTTAGGTAAGGAGAATGAGGGTAGGTGGACTGTAATAAAAGGCTGAAATTTTTTCCGCTGCTTTTCTTTTAGAAGATGAGAGAGACTTGAACATGTTTACACTATATGGGAAGTAGCCACGGAAAAGCTTGGGATTGAAGTTACAGGGGAGTTTGAATAATTAACAAAAGCAGAAAAGGATGGGATCTCAATCATCGGTAGAAGGATTAGCTTTAGGTAAGAGGCAGGACGGACCTGTCTTCGTTGTTACAGGAAGGAAGGAAGGAATAGGCGGTTACAGGAAGGAAGGAAGGAATGGTTGCAATAGGCGGTTTGTTTGTAGGTTTGGTAGCAGAAAGTTGAGCTTTCATTTGGTACCTTCTTTTTATTCTCTATGAAGTAGAAGACAAAGTTATCTGTTGAGAAGGGCGAGAGATGAAGTGAAGCAGCAAATTACAAGAGAGAGAATTTCAACTAGCATTATTCGGGGAAGGCTTCTTGTTGATAGCTATGTATACTAGGGGAGCAAGAAGTC